GGAAAGATTAGTCCCTTTTTGCTCCAGGTTTTCAGCCCTTTGGTTTCTCTTCCACAGATTTAAAATACAGGTCCTCCATCCAGTAGTACACATGATTAATTAATGTAACAGAAGCAGGACAATGAAAAACAACCATTTAAAAATGTTGCCTTGACTTTTCTTTTCAAATTTCAGCCTTTCGGTTCCAGATCTGACACCCAATATTGGCCTTTTCTGGTACTTCTTTGCAGAGATGTTTGAGCACTTTAGTCTTTTCTTTGTATGCGTGTTTCAAATCAATGTGTTCTTCTACACCGTTCCCTTGGCAATAAAGCTAAAGTAAGTATGTTTCTCTACTGATTTTTTTATTCTGACTTGCCCAGTGGAAGCTTATAACACTGCCATGAGAGGTCTGGATCTACCTGTCGGGTCTGGAGAGGCCTGAAAAAATGATAGTTTTTTTAAGAGGGCCTATCCTCCTCATTTCCCAAAGTTTCAATCTTATTCCTCTTAAATAGAGTGAATTGGGCTCTACTATGCACCAGATGTGTTACAGGCATGAAAAGAGAGAGCAGAAATTTGGGCTATAGAGGTGCTTGCTCACTGCCAGCATAAGTCAGTGTAGTCAGAAAGCCAAGAACTTTCGGCTGGAACTTAAAGTTCTTTATTGTCAGAAAAAAAGTGAAAACGGGCACACTCCTAGCATGCTGCGCTGACAACGTTATGCTTCTTCCTGATAAAAACACCTGTTGACACACCTGGATTCTCAGGTGAGCTTATCCTGCTGGCTTGAGATGGATACAGACATCGTGATATACCAGAGGGATGACTATGGGTTCTCCAGATAACCTTCAGAGAGGAGGTGCTGATCACTTTTCAGTGAGTAGGACAGAGCTGGGGAAGAGCAGCCTGGGTGACCAACTGTATAAATGTATGTTGGCACCAAGTTTCTGTCTGGGGACAGTGAGCAGATGTGCATCCCCTTATCCTGCTGCTCTGCAGAACAGTTCAGTCCATCCCACCCAGCACTCAGAGGCTTGTTTGGAGAGAGCAGGGCTATGAGAGCCTCTTTGAGCCTATCCCACAGTACCTTTGTGCTCTTGCTGAGATGTATTTCCAGTTTCCAGAGACCTTACTGCATCCTCTTATCCTTTGTCTTTTCCCTTCTAGGGAACACCCCATGTTCTTCATGTTTGTCCAGCTTGCAATCATTTCTATCTTCAAGTCCTATCCCACTGTAGGGGACGTTGCACTGTACATGGCCTTCCTTCCAGTCTGGAGCCACCTTTACAGATGTAAGTTCTTTGTGTTTGATTGTTCCTTATCTGAAATGGGAAAGGGCCTGTCCAGTAATTGTCACCACTAAACCAAACAAGGCCCATGTCCACAGGCTCGTGGCCTCCTTGGGCTGTCTGGAAAGAGGCTTGATTTTTCTGGTGATACAATCTCTTAACATGCCTTTACCACTAGGGTTGAAATTGGTGGAGGAAGGAATTTTCACTTGTACTGTACCTTCCACTTCTCTCCAAGTTGTTCTGAAGATTAACATTTTTGTAAGAACCTTTTACGGCCCTGCCCAAGGGATGTGGCTTAAAGTACCTCCATCCTTCGACTGCTTCCCTCCCATTTAAGGCTGTGTAATTTGAACACTGCTCCTGCAGTTGGTGAGTCGCAGCTTTAAAATCCTGCACCTTGCAGTGGTTCTTTGTTTTGCATCTGCCTGTTTGCTTAGAGTGAAAGTAACTGAATTACTCCAAGCAGTTGCCCAATTTTTCTTAAATGCTTCATAAACAGCCTCTTTAGCTCTTTAAATCACCAGAGGGCTTCCTGATGAGTTTTAAACTCAGTCTCTAGAACCTGCTGTGCTGGGGAGATTTTGTGAGCCTGACCGTATCGTACTCTTGGAAGCGCTTTGTTTTTCTAGGTATTTCTTGCTTAAACCAACTGCTTTGACCAACCCTGCCAGGCTGTCTGGGGCTTTTCTGAAGTCTTCTCTAACCCAGGCCAAGTGTGCTTATGGACAGCTAGCCTGCCTGGTGTCAGGAAATGTAATCAGGAGTCAAGAGACTTGGAGATCATCTGCTCTATTAGTTTCAGACTAAGGAAAGCTAAAGCCAAAGCAGCTGTGATAAAACAGGGCAGGAAGGCCCAGGCTATGCTGAGCATGGCACAGCCACAGCAGGTGATGTACGTCTGAGAAATCCTGATTCAGCCTAGTTCAGTTGCACATTCCAAGCATGCAGATAAGGGGACTGTGACCAGTGAGAGGGACAGTCATCTGTCACCTGCTCCCACCCCACAAAGAGTGAATAGAGCTACTGGACAAGAAGTTTGAAAAGGTAGGTGTGAACAGGTTTGCATGTGACAATGCTCATAAAATGTCAGCTAGCGCCCTTCAGGGGCAGAATGATCCGGATCTTTCACTGACCTTCTGAGGCATTGACTGAACTGTAGCCAAGCACAGCAACACAAGTGCCAGGATGAGCTATAACACTGCTGCCCAAGGACAGGCGTAAATAGTTCACAGAAAACAAACGTGCTTCTGATCTGGTAGTTTCTAGCTCTTTTAGACAAAGTTGTGTTTCAGTTTTGTCCATCTGACACTCACACAGATCAATGGATTCTGGCCACACTTGCACTTCCCAAGCTCATGTGTTTGTCAATGCATTTGGCCTATATGAGTTTCCTCCTTTTATGGTATTTTCATTTCCTTGCCACCTCCTGAGAAAGTATCTCTTTTCCTACGGCCCATAGGTTCATTTTTTTTCCTTTGTAGTCAGCTTGATGAGGCTAGGGAATGGCTCTGCTCTCTGAATTGTGATGCTGGTGGAAGAGCCCTTCTCAAAACTGCTGGTTACTGTAGTCTAGCCACCAAAAAGCCAAAATCCTCTGGGGAATAGTGTTTGGAAACAGGACCCAGAAGGAAAGAGCTACAAATGAGGATTTCACACTCAAGCAAAGGCAGAAGTATTTATTTAAAAGGGAAAAATAGTGGTTTTCTTATAAAAGCTAGCCAGGAAATTATTAAAGCAAACTGAAAGATTTTTGGAGAGAAGTATGTATTGGCAAGTGCCTCTGCCCCACAGCACATACCCTGAATGCTGGTTGCATGAGCATGGCTGCTCAATAATGCATCATTTTAACAGTCTGCTTTTCTTTTGCAGTCCTCCGGAACATCTTCATCCTGTCATGCGTGCTCATTGTCTGCTCCTTCCTGTTCCCCGTGCTGTGGCATCTATGGATTTATGCAGGAAGTGCCAACTCCAATTTTTATTATGCCATCACGTTGACTTTCAACGTAGGGCAGGTTAGTAGAACAAGGCAAACAAGGCTGCACTTCGGGTGTCCTGTCAGCAACAGTGAATTCTGCAGGATGTGTCTTGCTCTTTGCTTCTAGTCCTGCCTAGCAGCTTCCTGTCTCGCCTTGCTCCAGCTGAAATCTGCCTAGTCCTCACCTTCTGGCACACCAATGGGAAACAGTTCTTGTAGTATTTGAGCTATAGCTGAACAATCTAGCTAGGCTGTACTGCAAATTACGTGGTCTGTTGCTTGACAGCAAAGGAAAAGGATCTCGGTACGGCAGGACTAAGAGCATATGTGAATGGATGTGATAGTTTAACTTGGCTGGCAGCCAAACACCACACAGCTGCTCACACTCCCTCTTTCCTTCCCCACCCAGGGAACAGGGGAGAGAATTGGAGGGGTAAAGGTAAGGAAACTTGTAGGTTGAGATAAGAACAATTTAATAATTGGAGTAAAATAAAATTAAAATAGTAATGATACTAACATATATATATAAAGGGGTGATGCACAGTACAATTGCTCACCACCTGCCAACAGCGATCCTAGAGGAGAGAAAAGAAACCCCGAATCCAAAACCATAGTCCCAGAAGACCGAGCCCAAGAGATTCCCGAGAGAATCCCCCTGCTTCCTGGTCAGCCCTGGTTAATACACTGAACATGACATGACATGATCTGGAATATCTCACTGGCATATGTAAATGCCAATTCTGGGCTTTGCTAATTACTACGCTTCCCCCCTCCCAGGCCTTTGCACTTGCAGACCAGACAAACACCATGTCCTTGTACTTTATCAACATTCTTCTCACAACAGATCCCACACTGAAACCAAAACACAGCGCTTTCTAGCTGCTAAGAAGAAAATTAACTGTTATCCTAGCAAAAACCAGGACAGTGGAGAAGGTGAGCTAAGAGGGGAAATGGAAAAGGCCATGGGGCAGCAGCAGTGGGGCCAGACAACAGGCAGTTGAGAACTGGACATACATGGGGACAAGGCACCAATTTTTCTGAGCATTATATCTCACTGAACTGTAGGGTTGTGGGCACAGGCAGGGTCCCAGTCACACCAGGATTTGCTCTCCCTGCTTCTCTCAAGGCCATTCTAGATACATGACTTTCACTAGCTGTAGG